CAAAGGGCCGTCATTCTTTGCGGTATGCGGGACATGTGTAAGTACATTGTGTGGGCCTGATCCGGGCCATACCAATTTTGCTATGTGGGATTATGTTCAAAGCCTCTCCCAGTCAGTGCTGTTCCCCATGACTGTCTTACTGTACATGATGTTATCAGCACAAACACTTTAAAGATAATCAATTAGGACTTTAACAATAATACAGACAACAATGTAGTTAAACAACTTACAGTTAGTTTTATTGGGAATTAACTTTAACCTGTTAGGCGTCGTGTGTGTGTGTGTGTGTGTGTGTGTGTGATTTTTCTTCAAGTCGAGATGAATATCTTTACAAGTTGATTTGTTCACATTTGCACATCTTAATTATTAAGAGAAATATTGTTTTGTTTTTTTGAGTTTGTACACTATATGCATATAACACAACCATTTCCTTTCTCAGTATTTTTGTGCAGTGCGTTTTTCTCTATTTTAAAGGGGAAAAAAAGGACATTTAAGTCAACCTAAGATGATTTGTTTTAATTTTTACATGGTCTTACTAAGGTGATGCTAAGTGAAACATGCATTATTTTATTTATTTATTTATTTATTGGTAATCTACTGGAAAAGCTTGAAAATGGACCTTGAAATTGCTTGAATTTGACCCTGAAAAATGCGTATGAACCCTGCAATTAGGAGTGGGTATCCCAAGTGGAGTGCCACAGTGACTGCCCACTTTTTTTTTAAGGAGACTGTTTTTAAAAGTGGATTTCTCCTTCATTTTTTTCCACTGACTCTTCAGGAAATCTTTTTTAGGGTTTTAGGCCTTGAACCAAGCCAAACAGCTAAGAGAGGAATTGTGGCCATAAAGGGAAAAAAGAAGAAAACCTAAAGGGGAAAAAAGTAAAGAAATCAAGAGTAAAAGACTATGTACATAATTGCATTTAATGGTTAAAGAACTACACATCCTGCATTGCACATTGTTACTCAGGATTCAGTGGTTGAATAAAAAGCTGTTACTTGTTGTTACTGATGGTTTCTTTCCTCTCTTCCCTGCCTTGCTCCTGTGCAGGAGGATCTCCCTGCCCGAGTCCTTCCTGACAGCAGACATCATCCTCAGCACGCTGCAGAACATCACAGAGGGTCTTGTGGTCTACCCCAAAGTCATCGAGAGACACATCCGCCACGAGCTGCCCTTCATGGCCACAGAGAACATTATTATGGCGATAGTGAAGGCAGGAGGCAACAGACAGGTAGGAGAAAAAACCCTGTGAGGAATTCTCCTCTGAGTCAGAATGGACACAATAATAAAAGTTTTGAACGTAACTGGATGAATGCATTTTTGCTTAATCAGGAGAAATGGTTTATGGGCAGAAAATGCCAGCGGTAACCAGAAAAACAGATGACTGAAGTGAGATCATCTTACTGACTAGTAACCAGTGTTTTGACCATGTAAATGAAGCTGATTACCAATAACCAGACTTGACTTGGAGACCTAACAACATGGCTGTTAAAGTCAGCTCCACCTTAATGTTTCTGTTTTTTCCTGTGTCTCCTTCAGGAGTGCCACGAGAAAATCCGTGTTCTATCCCAAGAGGCAGCAGCTGTGGTTAAACAGGAAGGTGGAGACAATGACCTACTGGCCAGAATCCAGCGAGACCCCTACTTTGCACCCATTCTAGGGCAGCTGGATGCTTTGCTGGACCCCAAGACCTTTATTGGGCGTGCTCCACAGCAGGTACAGCATGAACAGCCTTATTTTTGTTCAGTCTGGCAACAGATGAATGTTTTCAGCCAAGCCGCAGCTCCACTATTACTGCAGCTGTCTGTTGCCCCCCTTGATGATAGTTTCTTTTCTTGTTCCTGCTCCTCTTTTTCAGGTGAAAACGTTCCTGGCTGAAGAAGTACGCCCCCTACTGGAGCCGTATAAGGCCAATATGGACGTCAAGGTTGAGCTTGTGCTTTAAAACATCAGTGATGTCTTAAGCTGGTTTTATGGTCGAGCAGAGTTTGCTGTCCACTCCACTCTAGGGACTGACCTTCGGTCTGCCTGGAGTGAGCTCTGTTGTCAGATGGAGGCAGTGCACAAAGTGTGTGGTACAACCAGTGTGTGGACCGCTCTTGCTTGTACTGTTGTTGGTCAACCAGCCACGATGGAGAGTGAAGTTATAGCAGATGAGATGAAGAGAGACCGATGAAAACAGTAAAATGGGGGGGCGCTATCCATAACATGAAATTTCAAGTTATGTATTTCAAAATTTCAAACTGAGCTAAAATTTAGTCATGGCTCTGCCAATCAGGAAGCTCTGTGAAGGTACGTTTTTTGTTTTTTGTTTGTTTGTTTTGCTTTTTGTTACCAGGAAGAAGAAGGTGGAAAGCATCAGCTGCACAATACTCCAGCTGCTGGTCATTAATGAGCAAACAACTGTGTATTTTCACACTGGATTTACAACTGTGACACAATCTTGTGTTACTAAAAGAATCACATGACATTATCAGCACAACAGTAATTTGTTCTTGTTGACTATATATATTGCAATAGCACCAGTTGGCTATCAACCTGCCGGTGCCTGAGTTAGGGTGTTTCATTTGTCATTGACGCAGTATTATTGTTTGCTTGAAATAATAAAACATGAATGATAAAACTGTGTGGGGTGAATTTATTAAAGTTATGCCCTCTTTATAGACGGGAAGCAAACAATCTGAGTGCATGATGGGGTTTAACAACATTAGTCTTCAGCTGTGTCCTTTTGTGTCCAAATCTAGCATAACACTGACTCGAAGTCCTTTAAACAGATGAAGTCAAGTTGCTTTATCTTACACTCCACTACATAATTTGCCAGTAATCCATTTTTTTTGTATCTATTATGTATTTTTTTTTGACTTGTTCATCGCCATAATAATGTTCTCTGTGGCCATGAAGGGCAGCTCGTGGCGGATGTGTCTCTCGATGACTTTGGGGTAGACCACAAGACCCTCTGTGATGTTCTGCAGCGTGCTGAGGATGATGTCTGCGGCCAGGAAGGACTCGGGCAGGGAGATCCTCGTGCACAGGAGCAGGGCAGGAAAATGAAGGATGAAACCATCAGTAACAACAAATAACAGCTTTTTACTCAACCACTGAATCCTGAGTAACATTGTGCAATGAACACTGTATCACAATCATTCGAGTCTTAATTGTAGAGATTTACACCAACTCTGGACTCCATATTCATCAACACAATCTATCATGACATCATTTGAAGCGCAGCCAAGCATGTCTCACTTACAGCTGGTTAAATGTTTTAGTTATAATCTCATTATAATCTATAATCATGGTTTATTTAACCAATACCATTCTCAATTTTGTTGACTTTCACTCAGGTGTTCAAACAACATTTTTTACAGTTGAGAAAATGTCTTCATGTAAAACCTGGCTGACGCAGAAGCTTAACTTGAGCTACCTAATCCCAATTAAGAATCATTGTTCCCTACTTATTGTATGTGTCTACATTAATGCGACATCTTTTTCAAAGTTCAGAGTTATAGCATCATATCAAATTCACAGCTGTGTAAATGTGTCCGTGGTAGCTGTACAGTCAGGACCTGGTAGCATGCACATGATTATTAAGACCTCCTTTATTCTCCGCAGACCCAGGAAAAAAGGTATTTTGATTTAGATTTTTTTTTTTCATATAAATCAAGTAGCGGGATGTTAAAAACCACATTGCAAAAACTTTTGTTTTTAACTAATTTAAAGTTTACAACATGTGCACTTCAGTGCACAGGAAGAGTTCATTGATCACGAATGCGAAACTAACAAAATTTAAGAGCTGGTTAAGAAAATTAAATGCTCCACTGAAATCTTTGTAAGCAGGATATTAAAACATATCTAAATAACAGCATCATAAAATAGTAGATCATGGGCCAGCTTAGAAGTCATTGACAGTTCACTAGCTGTAGGCCTCTGGTCTAGGAACAAATGATTACACTGGGCTTTCTATTTCACAAAAGTCCATTCATCTATGATATCTGTGGAAACACTGTGATTTTTTTTTTTTGGAGACACAGAAGAACATTTGGTACTTCACACATCTCACATTTGTTTTACTGTTGCACCCAAGCATTCTACACCTGAAAGGCCTGTGGACTGCATCATATTTTCCTACACTCTCATCTGGTTGGGGCTTCCTTTTTTTGATTTCTGGAGAGAACGTATTTATCAGTTCCTCGGCCAAAAGGAGTTTGAACTCCAGGTACTGGGAGGAGTTCTTTTTAGAATTTCAGAGCCACGAGTTAGAGTAAAAGCTTCTCATGTTTGTGGTTTGTTTTCTTCTGAATCTCATTGCACTGCATGATGGTTTCAGCATTCTCTTGTCTTAAGGTAAGACTCACCTGTTTGCCCAGAGGTCATGCACACACATCCAGTTATGCATCCCTTAAATTTTGGAGTAGCAACAGCAGTATTCTTTCTTTTCTTTTTTTTCTTTTCTTTCTTTTTCTTTTTTCTCCTGACAAAAACAAAACAATGGTTAAATACTAATGTACGAGGACAAAACCTGTGATGAAACTCTATCGCTGATTTAAAAAAGAGATGAGAATGTTCTACAGGGATGAGATCCAATCAGAATTGAAAGTGTGTAGAGAAGCGGGGTGATTTTAGAAGTTAGCCATGCACAATTTGATCTGTTGCCGACAAACAGGGTGGTGGAAACTCCCTTGCTCCCAGTTTCTCGTGAAAAGTTGGCTACCATAGCAGTATAGTATTGCAACATGGCATTTGGGTCTTCTAACTAAAATAGGAACATAAATAGCACCATCATTGCCAGACCTGGCCCACATCTGGTTGACAAACACCCTGCCATGACACCAGTCAGTCAGAAGTGCCAGCTTGATGCCGGATCTGGGCCAGACCTGTTTTCTATGAGCCTGGGCCACATAAACCAAACCAAAATTGGCCAGATGTGGCATGCCATTACATAAACAGTGCCATCTACACCAGGCCTGGCCCATATCTGGATGACATACAACTTACCATGCCAGAAGTCAGCCAGCAGTGCCGGGTTGACTCCAGATCCGGGCCAGACCTGTCTGCTATGTGGGTTCAGGAGTGCCATGAGATGATCCATGTTCAAGAGGCAGCAGCTGTGGTTAAACAGGAAGGTGGAGACAGTGACCTGCTGGCCAGAGACCCCTACTTTGCACCCATTCTAGGGCAGCTGGACGCTTTGCTGGACCCCAAGACCTTTACTGGGCGTGCTCCACAGCAGGTACAGCACGAAAAGCCTTATTTGTATTCAGATTCTGGCAACAGATGAATGTTTTCAGCCAAGCTGCAGCTCTCCTATTACTGCAGCTTTGTCTGCTGCCCCTTGGTGACTGTGAGGACTGTTAACAAACTAATGGTATAAAAATGTTTTTCTTCTCCCTGCTCCTCTTCTTCAGGTGGCAAAGTTCCTGGCTGAAGAAGTACGCCCCCTACTGGAGCCATATGAAGCTAATTTGGACGTCAAGGTTGAGCTTGTGGTTTAAATCCTCTGCAATCGGGGCATGTGCCAGCATGTCGCATGACTGATTAAAGATTTTTATTATTTAATTTTATATTTAATTTATTATTTATTTATTTGGGACAGACTTGACTGGGGAAAAGAAAGAGGGAAAGAAAAACAGCGGGGAAGAGGGAC